CCACTCAATGGCTGCAGAGAATTTGTTTTGAGAAGGTAAGCTCCCAATTTATAGAAATCTCTAGAATGAGAATGTACAATTACCAAAAATAACATACACAGGGCAGACTCTGCATAGCATTCTTCAACATAAACACTCGTGAACAGCAGCCAATCCCAGAACTTCACTCCGCATCCATCGGCACACAATATCAAAATTAAACGACAACCAGGGAAAATGCTTAACACAAAGGCCATTTTTTCTTTGATGGAATCAGGAAGAAGAGTAGAGCTGCAGGAAAAAAAAGTGAAACCCCAGCTTTGGGCACGTATGAAGGCTTCATTACTTCAACGAAAACAGAACAAATCTCTGTGGAAAGGACTCATTCGGCAAACATAACTTCTTTCCATGTATTTTTCCTTCACATCAGGTTAAACAAAAGCTGCTGTCATTTTAGAATCATTGATTACATCTTTTTAATTAGAAAAAAGTTTACTTGAATATTTACATAATTTTATTGCTGTTTACTACAACAACAACAAAAAAATTAACTGATTTGTAGACTCCGTCCAGTAACACATGAAACTGAAATCCATCTCTGAAGACACAGTTAAATGGCTGAACACATTGGATGCTCAGAGCACAGCATGAATAGGAAAAATCCTCGCATGTCATGTGGTTCTTGCTGTAGTCATTTGTGTTCATCTTTCAGAAGGCAAAAGAATCCGTCTGACATTTCAATAAATATCAAAGTAATTGTTACCAAAAAAATAGCTTCCACGGACCAGAGATCCAAGAAAGGGCGGTTCTGACGAATGATTCCCAGAATCGAGTGAGTCCTCCTTTAGTCCAATGAGATGACGTCAGGAATGTTACTCCCGCTGCTGGCTATGACCCCTGGCTCGCTCCTGCTGCTGGACGAGCTAACGTGAGCACTGCTCTCATGGGGGCTGGTGGTGGTGACAGACGTGCTGCTTGCTGTTAAGGGTGAGGTGAGACTATCCAAAAACATAGGAGGACAGTACTGCTTGAAACAAACAATGATGCCGATGAGGAAGAGGCTACATTGATTTTTAAATAAAGAGACTAGAAATTGTTAGGTATGCACAAGCGATAGTCACATATTTAAATCCCAGTGGGGTTTAAACGTTTCTCAAAACTTCACATCTTTGGATTGAAGGTGGCATGAATTTATTATTTACTAGTGAGCGCAGTATTTTCTTGATTCTCTCAAAACTTACAGAATTTGTTGACTAAATTATGAAGGAACAAGTACACAGTCAACAATAATTGAAGTTATTTAATACTAAATACTGGCCCCAGAATGACTCATAACTTAGTCTCAAAGAGAACTTGTTCACTAAATGTATTTATACCAGGTTTAAAGCACACTGTAAAAGGGTAATACTTATCTTTAACGGTATTAAGCAAAATTTCTAATGCAAAATTCAATAATTCTTTCAAAATTTAGTATTAATCACACCCTTCAGCAATAATATTAAGACTGATCAGCAGAAAAGCAGCAGCTGACTCCTCTGTACATACATGTATCAGTACCTGGGTAACCAGAAGGCAGCAGACACTAATATTGAGACTACCTGGTAGCTAATTACCACAGGATGCTCAGAACGAGAATTACCACAAGTATTACAAAACTTTGGGATAAGTCTTAAAGGAGATGAGATCTTATCTAATCTAATCTTCCTCTGAGATACCTGCTTGACAACCCTCTCTAAGAGTTCATACTTCCAGTTTCCTTAACATCTGAGTTGCTGATTTCCAAACAAATTTCAACCTGAGGTTAGCACTCTTAATATTGGCCAGGAGGAACAGAGAGACAGAGTTAAAAGCTTTATTTTATATCACCACAAAATATTTTACGTGAGAAACAACTGCACTGACTTTAGTGAGATAAGCGAGGTCCTGTATATACTACAAGAGAGGTCCTAAGTTTGTGTTTAGATTGTATAAAAAAAGATCAGTAAGGATATCTGACCAATATTATCAATTCTATATATTTTTCAGCCTATGATCAGAGATATTAAGACCAGAAATTAAAAAACCGAAGTTGTTTAGACTACATGATCTTCAAAAAGATCGTAAGATGGGAACCAGCACCTCATGTTTAAGGCTGCCAGGCAGCAGCAGAGCAACGACTGAATTTCAGGCTGCCTTCCAAAACGTGATGTCAAGTTTAGGGCGGACAACTGTCTTGGTTCACCAATAAAATGAATGCCAGGCACCGAGAGGTTCCAGGGACACTGGTAAAGGGGGAGAAGCTCTAAAGAGAGTTGCATTATCAGGTATTAAACAACTTTAAAATCAAATCAACTTCTAATTTTCCACTAAAATTAAGACAAGAATCTGGAAGAAGCCCCCAGATTTAACATTTTATTGCTACTAGCTCTCAGGCAGTTTCTGACTGCCTAGTAGGAGAAAGGTCCCCTTTCTGGTTCATAAAATGAATGCCAAATACAGCCTTGCCATCAATAGCCTCTATGCTTTGAAATCTTAACAATACCCAGGTTGCAGCCAATTTATTAACTCTGCATCCTTTATGTGTAATCTGAACACATCCGTCCAAGGATAACTGGGATAAGGGAGAAATATGGAGGTAAAGCAGATCAAATCTAAGGATTCCAAGCAAAACTAAAGGCCCCACCTCACCCTTCATTTGGCTGACACCAAGCATGCCAAACAGCCCTAGAAAAACAAACTCCTCTCGGTTCCAAGGTCACTTTTTAAAAATAGGACGGTTCATATACAAATCAGTACTACTTTAAGCCTGAAGAATCTATCTCCTAGGAAAATAGACACTTTGCTTTTGAAACTACTGATGAAACAAAGTCAGCTCGGGGTGAGAAGAAGAAACCCCTCAATCTGGGCACACCACCTGGGGCCCCCGTTTCCAGGGCTGCTTGCACGCTCAGACACAGAGCGCTGGACTAGGAAGCGGAGGCGAGACCTGGGGCGAGCGGGTTCTAAGCAGCCTCTGAAGCAATGGTCCACGGTTCTTCCTCTACCCCTTCCTACTCTCAACACTGCTCTCCAAGTCTCCTCTGTCCTGCCTCCCCCTTCTGCTTTTCCCATGCCTTTTCCTCCTCTGCTCTAAGCCTATCAGTAGAGTCCATGCTCACTGCCAAGGCCTTCATGTTGGGAGGCTGGGATACTAAGAGTTTATCCCTGACGGAGAAAACAGGAAGGACGGGTTTATAGCAATTTCACATCAGGGCATCCCCAAAGTCTGAATCTGACTGCCTGCAAAAACAAGGAAGAATCAAGCTAATGATTCAGTCTGTTTAATCAGCTTCGGCTAACTCCTCTAAATAGAACAAGTGTTTAACAAATTATCTCTGTAAAGTTTTTTTTTTAATCTCCATAAAGTTTTAACCTCCAGTCATCTAGCACTGCTTCTCCTTATCTTAATCACTCAAATGCTTGTAAGGAATGCCAACTGATTATATTACACTAAACAAAATCGAATTTAAAATTTCAGTATTAAGGCTGAAATATAAATGGAAAAATAGCAATTTTATCCCACCAGTAAAATTGTGAAATATTTATGTACTTCCTTTCCATCAATTTAAGTAACTGAGAGGTGACTGTCCTGATTTTATGCAACTGGTCATTTTTAGTTAGTACGACACAACCAACAATCACATACAAATTAATTGCTTAAATTCAGGATACATACCTGGGTGTCAACTGGAATAAGGGAAAGAAAATCCAAACCTAAAACAAAAATGCTCTGTTAATAGGTGTCTCGTATTTTGGAGACAAGAATTATTTCCCCAAATCATTTTTTATTTATCATAAGTCATAAAACATTTGGGCCAAGTTCTTACCATTCTGCTGTAGGCAAGAGCTATACCACGATCAGGCTCTTTCAGGACATTTAATGTACATAATATCCAAAAGTGAACATATTTCCTGCCAAAACAACTGGAAAAAGCACCTCCCAGAGACTTACAGGGAGCAGTCCAAAAGTTTTCAGATAAATAGGACTAGTCAAAACAAACTTTCCTCCTTCATCACTCAGCACAATGAGAAGCCGTAAGATGAGGAAATAATGATCTGGATTTGGATCATTAAAAAAAACATACTTAGACTCTTCAGATACTTCACATTTATTTTTTAGACGTACACCACATTGAGCTTCACCTAAAATACTACTTCTTAGACAGAGAGATGTCTGTTTCATGGACAGCCTTCCATCTCCCTGTTTCCACAACAAGAGTAGTAAGTACACAGCTCAACGCTCTGCACAAAGCAAGCACTTGGTAACTGATGCTCACTAACACGCTAAATCTTACCAAGGTTTACTGGGTTATAAGCTAATGCAGTTTTCTAAACCAAACATCTGGGCTTCTCCGATGATGCTTTAGAAACAGGAATGTGGTAAAGGTTGCCCAGTAATACTGTTTTGAAATACTGAAGTTATAACAGTGAACAATAATTTCAGGTCTGAAAAGTCTAGCAATAAACTTCAAGGTCAGGTCCCCTAGACCTGTTTGACTAAATTTCAAAATTGAAAAAAAATAATAAAAATCACACAGCAGGTACAGGTTATGAAGACAGGCCAATTTCTGTTCATTCAATGAATTTTTATATGTCAGGAGTCAATGTCACCTCAAATATAACAATCACACAGAGTGTTGTCAGATACTAGATTGTTAACTCTAAGTGGAGAATGTCAGTGGGAAATATTTAAGATACTGAGTAGCCAGTATGAACAATTTATAACTCAAAATATTAAAGCATATTTATTCCCTTATAATCTCTAAATAAAGGTATGATAAAAAAATACGTATCAAGAAATACAAGCTGTAGCACCAATCATCTGAAAGAAGTCATCCAATTTCTAAAGCATTTTTGAGACTTGCTGATATGACTTTTCATTTCACAAGCTTGTCACTAGCTCTAAGACACAGCAAGGTCTGAGCCAACACTGGACAAAGAAAGGGAATCACAACAGACTTTTCCCAGGAGCTCCCCATTAAACTGGTAACCAGGAGGTGACATCTCAGATACGCAGAGCTTCTCTTCACATTAATGACACTGTCCAGTAAATCCTCTCTCTGCTTCAGCTGAACAGTAATACAAAAGTCGTCTAGCCCTTATAATACCTTCTGAGAGTTTTATACAGTCAACATTTCTATTATCGACTAAGTCACAAAAATAGCTTACTGGCATGTCATTTAATCAATTGGCTCAATTTTATTAACTGTTTTGCTTCAAATGGTATATAACATCTTTCTTTATATAATACCTTCTGCTTTGAATAGTTTAATTTTATATGTTCAATCACTTTTAATGTTTGTTGAATCACTCAGTCCATTTGACTAAGTGAAACTTTCTTAATAAAGCTACAGAAAGTATTGCTGTTTCTGCTGGAATACCATATACTGAATCCAAACATTTTCTAAATGTTTAGCCCCATTTCATGACCTCAATTTAAATAAATACGTAGGCATGATATAGAACTTTCAACCTGTCTCTGCAGCTCCAGCACTGAAGGCTGCCCATCAAGGTGCCAAGTGTCTCCGTATTTTCATTATTTCAGTTCCCAGCTCTCCAGAGGTACTGTAATTCTCTTTGACAATTATTTCGTGTGTGCAGTAGATTGTATACAGTCTACTGATAAAAGATTTTAAGAGATTACCTGACCTGTATCTTTTGCCACCTCATTCAGGATTAACTGAATATGGTGACTTACACAATGCCATGTTAAATAAATAGCATTTTCTAAAATTTCGGTTGAAACCCATTCACTGTTCCCCTAGCATTACAGACACTATCTATACAAAATTTAATAATGTTTCAATGTAAATATTTCTCACTGAAACCATTTTTTCTCAAACGGTAACACTGAAGTTTGATATAGTATTTCAGATGTTACTCCTTCTAGCAAAAAACTTTAAAACTATTATCAACGTCTTGCAATTATACTTTGTAAGCAGACTATTGAAACTCGTATACATGAAATACATAAAGTTTCATGAATAGTGATTAAAATGTTACTGCCTTATTTTGTAAGTTTAGTAAAATGCTTTTTTCTTATTTCACCATTTCAACTGCAATGATACTTTGTACTGATACACTTTTAGGGCCTCTTAAATATTTTATGGTTGAAAATGCTCAATTATTTTTAACTGAAAAGCAGGTAGTGTTAAAAATTCTGATGGTATGGTTTTTATTAATACGAACGGAATTGTAGTTTTTAGATTTTAAATGCTTCTTGATGTCAAACTGACTCTACATTAGTCTTATTAATAACAACACATTTTCCTTACTTGAGCCATGAACTTTAACAAAACATAATCGCTACATGATTAAATACGTAAATGTTTAGCATTTCCAAATCTTAATGATACAACTTTTGGGCACCATTCACACCTGACAATATGGCACTACCAATAATAAGGTAGTCATATTTTTTCGTGAAATAATCAAGCTGTTTTCCATTCCATAAATACAAATTATTTATTTTGCATTCACTGTTGCACAGTATCAGAAGATGTTCCAAGCTGCCATTCATTATTAATATCATTTCTTCTTTGTTCTCCTGCAGATTCAGAAGATTCATGTTTATGATTTTTAAAAGGAACGTTAAGAAATGTAGTAAAAGTCTGTCAGCTCTCCGTTCTTGCTGTTCTAGTTAATATTTTATTATAAACTATTAAATTTGTAAGTATCAAAACTGTACAGTATCACTAATTACATCAAAAGTATGCACCAAAAACCCCAAAGTAATTACTAATTACAAAAGAGCACATTAACAGTAGAACCAAAGTAAAAACTATTTAGGTGTAGTAACTGCTACATAATTCATAGATGATGATAAACTGGTAACTCTTCTTAAGTACAACAGATCGCAGTCTACGCAGTTTATCAATTGATAAGATAGCATTTCTACATTTTAGTAATCAGCCCAAGGTATTAGTCTTAGTTCCTTAATACCAGTTTAAAATGTATTTTATGAAATACACAGTTACCATATTTTTCTGCATTTTTCTCAAATCCACACGTTATCAAATAAAGCCTTACTTTATGCCCCAATTTTGAAATAATGTAAATTCTCTGAAATTAAAAATTCATCCAAACTCACATAACCTGAAAACTGATAGAGCAAGTGACTTGTACGTTGTATCTATTCTACGGCTAAT